TCCAGGCTGGGGATGCAGCTCAAAGGTAGGGAGATTAGCTTATTTGCAAAAGACCTTGGGGGGGGGGGAGGGGGGAAAATACTGAGAAGAAAATGAAGGAATAAAGTCACAAAAGGATAGTTCCAGTAAACAACTGTGAGCAGGTCCTGTTCTAGGCAGTGGGAGGCAGCAGAGAACATCACAATAGGTGCTCCCACCTAATGCAACTTTCATTCAAAGGCAGAGTCCATCTTTCAGTTCTTTGAATACTCACTAAACTCCTTCCCACTCAGCCTTTAACATTTGTTGTTTCCTCTTCCCTCAATGCACTCCTTCCAAATATTGCCAGAGTGTGCTCTTCTGCAGGTCTTAGCTCTCGAGCCAGCTTCTCTGAGAAGCTTACCCAGCAGCTGACTATTTAAAATATCAGCGCAGCTCCGTACCGTGCTACAAACTACAGTCCAAGCTACTCTGAAGGTTGAGGCAGAAAAGTGCACTGAGATCACCAAGTAGAGGGCAAAATCTCAAGATCTCATCTCAATAAGGAAGAAAAGGCAACTTAATCCTTTCTTCACTATTCTTTGCATCCTACTTTATCACCACCTGACAAAACATCATATATTTGCTGAGCACAGTATGTCACACTTGTTGTCTCAACATGAGGAGAGACTAACCAGGAGGACTAAGGCTCAATGACAGCTTTGACTGCACAGCAAGACCCTATCTCAAAAGTGAAATAAGGGGCTGGAGAGATGGCTCAGAGGTGAAGAGAACTGACTGCTCTTCCAGAGGTCCTGAGTTCAATTCCCAGCAACCACATGGTTGCTCACAACCATCTATAATGAGATCCTGTGCCCTCTTCAGGCGTGCAGGGATACATGCAGACAGAATGTTGTATACATAATAAATAAATCTTTTAAAAAAGTAAAATAAAGCATTCTGTATTTATTTATTTATTTATTTATTTAGTAGTATATCTGCATTTAATACAGTTACTTTACTAAATGTACAGAGACATAGTACCATATTTGTATACCATATATATTGTATGTTATATGTATAGGATGATACTTTTATACATAATACAAAGTATATATAAAATATTTACTATTATATATTATTACTTACATGTGACCTATTTTTACTGTTTATTTACTACTATGAAATTTAAAATTAACATCACCGTATTTCTATACAATCTTATACATTTATGTTAGATTACGTATATTTAAACACTTCTCATAATATGTATCCTTTCCTTGCCTCAGTTTCCTCTTTGTGAGTTAAGGATCATTAGCTCCTATGTTGAAAGGATTAAATTGAATGGGGATAAAAAGAATTCAGGATGCTGGAGAGATGGCTCAACTGTTAAGGACACTTAACTGTTCTTCCAGAGGACCCAGGTTTGATTCCGTGCACCCACAAGGCAGCTCACAACCATCTGTAACTCCAGTCCCAAGGAATCCAATAGCCTCTTCTGGCCTCAGAGGTTAGCAGTCATGCAAATGATCCACAAACATATATGCAGACAAAACATGCACAGGCAGCGGGGCGGTGGTGGCACACACCTTTTGTCCCAGCACTCAGGAGGCAGGGGCAGTGGGATCTCTGTGAGTTCAAGACCAGCCTGCTCTACAAAGTAACTTCCAGGACAGCCTCCAAAACAATACAGAGAAACCTTGTCTTGAGCACCCCACACACACACACACACACACACACACACACAAAACAAAAACAAAAAAACAAGCACAGGCATAAAATAAAATCTCAACATAACATTTTAAGAATTCAGCAGGACACTGGAAACAACTTTATAGGATTTTACAAGTAAGCCAGCTCAATTTTCAGGGATTTTGTAAACTGATTGGTAACTATTGTTAAAAATAAAATTCTGGGCTGGAGAAATGGCTCAGAAGTTAAGAGCACTGGCTGTTCTTCCAGAGGACCCAGGTTCAAGTAAGTCCCAGCTACCACATGGCAGCTTACACTGTCTATAATTCCAAGATCTGACACTCTCACAGACATACATGCAGGCAAATTACCAATGCAAATGAAATAAAAATAAATTTAGACACTAAAATGCTGGGGCTGGAGAGATACCTCTGTGGTTAAGATCACTTGTTGCTCTTGCAGAAGACCAGGTTCAGTTCCCAGCACCCACATGGTGGACTCACAACCATCCATAACACTACTTCCAGGATCTGACACCTTCTGACCTCCTTGGGCACCAGGCATACATGTTCTCTTCATATACATGCAGACAAAATACTCATATACATAAAATAAAAATAAATTACTCTTTTAAAAATGAAATACCTCAGCATCCAGGAGACAGAGACAGGTGAACCTCTGTGAATTTGAGGCCAGCTTGGTCTATGTAGTGATTTCCACGACATCCAGCACTACACAGAGACCCTGTCCTTTTTTTTTTTTGGTTTTTCGAGACAGGGTTTCTCTGTGTAGCTTTGGAACCTATCCTGGCACTCGCTCTGGAGACCAGACGGCTGGCCTCGAACTCACAGAAATCTGCCTACCTCTGCCTCCCGAGTGCTGGGATTAAAGGCGTGCGCCACCAACGCCCGGCGAGACCCTGTCTTAAAGAAATAGGAAAGGAAAGGAAAGGAAAGGAAAGGAAAGGGAAGGGAAGGGAAGGGAAGGGAAGGAAAGGAAAGGAAAGGAAAGGAAAGGGAAGGGAAGGGAAGGGAAGGGAAGGAAAGGAAAGGAAAGGAAAGGAAAGGGAAGGGAAGGGAAGGGAAGGGAAGGAAAGGAAAGGAAAGGAAAGGAAAGGGAAGGGAAGGGAAGGGAAGGGAAGGAAAGGAAAGGAAAGGAAAGGAAAGGGAAGGGAAGGAAAGGAAAGGAAAGGAAAGGAAAGGAAAGGAAAGGAAAGAAAAGAAGAAATGATGAACAGTGAATGAATGTTGGGGGAAAAGGGGGTACTTGAAACCTCAGCACCTGTAAGGTGGGGAGTGGTTCATGGATTGGAAGCCAGCTTGACCTACATTGAAACCATGGAGAGAGAAAGAGACAGGGAAAGAGAGAAAAAGAAATATAATACTGTGAATTTAACAATAAGTGGATTGGATTTTTAAAGGTAATAGATATTTAAAATCTATCACTTCTTAATTATCTTCCTGTATTTTGCTCATTTTCTGTGCCCTTGAAGCCATTTCTCCTATTGTACGGTTCAGTTAATGCATTAATGCTGCATCTGTGTTCAGACTACACACGGGTGACTTAAAATCTGACCAGATGATAGATAATATGTAAACCATGGAAACTGGTAAATGCTACAAACAGAACCATCCCCCTACCCTGCCAAAAGTCAGTTAACCATTTACCAGCACACCACTGAAAGTACTTAGTGCCTAATACATGGTAAATATTGTTTCAATTATTGTATTTTTTGCACTAGGTCATGACATATGAGCACACACAATGAGCACACACACGCGCGCGAACATATACAAATACAATATATGCTTTAAACTTTTCTTCATTCATACATTTATTTATTCACTTATTAGGGGAGAGGGCCTTGCCACAGCATGCATGTGGGGGCATGGGTGGGTGAATAGAGCTCAAATGGTCCGATGAGGCAGCAAGAGCCTTTACCCAGTGTGCTGTGCCAGAAATTCATAGATATGCTTTTTGTTTGTTTGCTTGTTTTTCGAGACAGGGTTTCTTTGTAGTTCTTTGGAAACTGTTCTGGAACTCACTCTGTAGACCAGGCTGTCTTTGAATTTACAAAGATCCCCTTGCCTCTGTCTCCCGAGTGCTAGGATTAAAGGCGTGCGCCACCAACGCCCGGCTTCATAGATAAGCTTTTTAGTGATGCGTGGTGGTTAAAATGTTTCCTGAAGTATTCGGAAAATATCTAATTAGGAAAGGGTGTACACCTTTCTAACTCTCCAATTAACACCGTGAATTCTTCATCAGTGATTATCCCCATTTATCAGATGGGGAAACTAAAATTCTGAGATGGCAAAACTGAAGTACCGCAATCAGCCAGTAGAAGATTCAAAATTGCACGCGGTAGTTTCTCGGCTACTTTTGCAACGCGCTTTCGTCCTCCACAAGGTCACACTCCGCCCCCTTACGTAATTTCCCTTTTCGCCAGACTAAGAGACTAGGCGTGGTCGTGGCGCTGAATTTTGGGAAATGTAGTACTTAGACTCAATGACCGCTAAGATGTAAAAAGAAGCGGCTAAGTAAGTTATCTTGGCCTCCTTTTTTTCTTGCTTTTTTTGTGCGAGTGTGTGGAGCGCGGTGGGAATTTCCCATGCCAAGGTCTCTCTATATAACCCAGATTGACGGAGAACTCGCGATCTTGCTGCTTCGTTCTCCTGAGCGCAGCTATACGACCTTGGCCTTGCAACAAAGAACTAAGAGCCGGTTCACGAGCCTTGCAACATTATTGGCTAAGCAACGTCAGTTGCATTCTGGGACTAGCAATTCCTGTGACCCGGATATGTCGACAAAAGATGACGAGACTAACGTCACACGTTCTGGTCTGGTCTGGACCTTCGTAAAACTTAAGTGTTTCACAATGCAAAGTTAGCCACGTTGTTACAACCTCTAGGCATATGTTACAGGCCTTCGGGTCAACTCCTAACATCAACGGAAGCCCTACCTTTTCTCACCGATTTGCACACTCTTCTTGAAGCTGGTAATTCAGTCTCCCTCCCTATCGAAGAGCTAAGGTAGGTCCTGGGGCACCGAGGACAAACTGGGACCAAGACTGAAGGCATGCTGCCCTATCGGGATGGAAGGGCTTCATTCTTGGTGTTGCAACCGCATAGTTCAGCCAAGCCCTGGGAAGCTTGCCTAGAGCAAGAACTAGAATGCTGGATGAACTCTAGGGGTGCAACATGTAGCTACACAACAGATCTGCTATCCCCTGGACCACCTGGAATGGTATCTGGTGGTCCTGATAGGTGATGGTCTTTGAGATCATGAAGACGGACTTGGGGCTGTTATTAGAAGATGATTCTTTAAGGTATTAGACATGTGGTGTTATGTCCACCGGAAAATTAATGAAGGCTAATAATAATTTAGTTGAGTTGTTCTTGGGGACCGGTGGAGTATGCTCACTGGTTGGATAATGAAGGAATTACTAATGAGAGTATGATTCCTGAGCATTCTGGATATTCAGCAGTTTATATAATAATTGATAATGGTGAGGTTATGGAGAGAATAACAGAGATGGGTAGGCAGAGTGATAAAAGGACTAGTGGGGGAAGTGATGAAAGAAGAAATAGAAGCTGTGTGAACATCCTGGGTAGTGTGTGTATTGATGAAAAGGATACTGAAGGCCACTAGTGTGACCTTCGAGAGGCCGGTGGGAGGACTTAACTGATAAATTGGCATAATAGAGACGTATCAGGTCATGATCCTCTAGGCATTAGTGGAGATTCCCATGGTAGTAATTAATGGTTGAAGGCCTAATCTTTGAAGGGATTGATGGACTTCATAGTAGACAGAGAGATTAGGCTGTGGGAAATGAAACAAGGTTGTATCGGGGTATTAGGTGTGAAAAGCATGGGATTAAAGAGAGTAGTGGGGTTCTATGAATCCAGAGCCACTGGAAATAACTAGGTGTTAATAGAGATGAAATGGGCAGAGAAAATAGTTGAAAGAGAGAGAGATTACTTGTGTAGAGTGTCAGTGAGAGTAGTTGGAGGTTGGGAAGGTCAGTAGTAGGTCATTAACTGTGGAATCTATGGTGCCCACAGTAATGGAGCCTATATGATGAGAAAGAGGCCCTAAGACTGCATGATAAGGGACTTAGGGCCCTGTTGGGGCTTCAGTCTTCGTGTGTTGAATGAGCTGTCATATGGGTCACATGAATTCACTTAGCTGTACTTTGTTTCCTCTGCCCTGTGCAGGTAGGTGGTATCCTACCACCTACCCTGTTTACTCATACAGGACAGCATCAGCCCACTGCCTACCAGCAGAGTGAGATGGGACGAACATCAAAGGATAAACGGGATGTCTACTACCGCCTGGCCAAGGAGAATGGCTGGCGGGCCCGAAGCGCCTTCAAGCTACTTCAACTTGATGAGGAATTCCAACTCTTCCAAGGTGTCTAATTTGGTGGCCAAGTGACCTGGGAGTGAGGAGAAGGTTGCTTCTGCAGAACTCACTGTAGTGGGTGCGCTAACTTCAAGGATATCCAGGGCAGGAAGACAGGAAGAGGATGGGCCACAAACCATAGAGGAGGTAGCACAAGAGCAGTGGGTCGACAGAGGTTTGCTATAGGAGAGAGAGGTGGATCATGCAGGGTTCTCAGGTGAGAAAGGTCTGTGCAGCTGACAAAGTATGTTTTTACTGTGTGTGCGCAGGTGTGAAGCGAGCAGTTGACCTGTGTGCAGCCCCAGGCAGCTGGAGCCAGGTGCTGAGCCAGAAGATTGGGTGAGTGGAGGTCTAGGAGGGTGGACTGGTGGGAGGAAGGGCTGGGAGTAAAGACTGTGCTGACATGGACTGTGTTGTCCACAGGGGCCAGAGTTCTGGTCAGGTGGTAGCTGTGGACTTGCAGGCTATGGCTCCACTCCCAGGCGTGATACAGATACAGGGGGACATCACTCAGGTGAGCGCATGACTGAGAATATCGGGGTTATCCTGAGAGAAAGCTCTACTTGGGGGTTATGGAAAGTGGAAGAGAAACAAGAAAAAAAAAACAGCAAAAGTAACCAGGCAAAAGTGGTGGCACACAGGTTTAGTCCCAGCTCTCAGGAGGCAGAGGCAGGCAGATCCCTGTGACTTCGAGGTCAGCCTGGTCTCCAGAGATAGTGCCAGGATAGACTCCAAAGCTACACAGAGAAACCCTGTCTCGAAAAACCAAAAAGAAAAAAGAAAAAGAAAAGCCAGCGCAAGAAATACATAATCCTCGGATTTAGAAGGCGGAGGGATAATTAAACACAAATCTAGTCTGAGTTATGTAATGAGGCTGTAGCTCAGAATTAAAAAGAAAAAGGACTGCAAGGTGGCTTCAGCAGGGAAAGGTACTTGCCGACAAACCAGATGACCGCCTTCCGTCCTGAGAGCTGTCCTCTGCCATCCACGTGCATGTGTACCTACACACACACACAGTAAAGGAATAAGTAAATGCAGTTTTTAAAGTATTTTAGGGGCTGGAGACACGGTTCAGCAGCCAAGAGCACTGGTTGTTCTTGCAAAGGACCCAGGTTCAATTCCAAGCACCCATACAATGGCTGTAACTCCAGTCCCACGGATGGTGAGGCCATCTTCTGGCGTCCCCAGCACCAGGCATACATGTAGGACACAAACATACATACAGGCAAAACACCTATGTACATTTAAAAGAAGAAGAAAAGAAAGGAAGGGAGAGGGAAATCCAAATATTTTTAGTAAATTAATATTTGTTATTATTTATTCTGTGTGTGTATGTGGGTGCTTGTGCGCTATGGTGTGCATATAGAGGTCAGAGGATAGCTTGGAGGAGTCAATTCTTTCCCTCCATTATGTGAGTTTTCGGGATAGAACTCTGGGTCACCAGGCCTGCCAGCAAACACCTTTACCTACTAAGCCATTTCACCAGCCCCTTAAAAAAAATTTTTTTTAATAGAAAAGAGGAGGGGGACTGGAGATGTAGCTTAGCACTAGAACACTTTTTAACACAAGCAAAGCATACCGGGCTCTATCCCCATATCACAGACAGAAGCTGAGAAAGACAGATAAACAGCAGACAAATGGCCAGATCATATTACAGAGACACCAAAAGATGGTGAGAATGGGTCCCTAGAGATGGAACGTGGTCTCAGACAGGCAAAGCCTAAGAACATGGCATGGCTGCCCCAGGGGCTTTGAGGCTAGGGCTGTGGGCAGGTGGGATTTGAGGGGGAAAGCCACAGAGGGACACTGAGGCCACTCATCCCCATTTCTCCATAGCTTTCCACTGCCAAGGAGATCATCCAGCACTTTGAGGGCTGCCCTGCTGACCTAGTAGTGTGTGACGGGGCTCCTGATGGTAAATGGGGTGTGGGGTGACATTTACCTCCTAGCTCTTACCCTCTGCTCTCACCATTTCCTCCTTTCTGGCAATCTCTCTCTACCTTTGCTCCCTGTTCTCATTCTCCATCTTCCTTCTCATCGCCTTTCAAGTTTTTTTTAACTGTTTCATGGTGCTAGAAATGGAAGGACCTCGTGTATGCTAGGCAAGTGTTCTGCCGCTAAGGTATACCTCCTGCCTTCAGCTTTGTGCTTTTGTCCACCCTTCTGCCTTTGCATATGACTGTTTGTCCAATCCTGTGTTCCTTTTTTTTCAGCCAGCTATCTATTCAGAACAATATCTGTTGTTGCACATAAACAAATTCCACTGACCTCTGGCCTTGTGAAGTCAATGTTTTAGTGGGAATACATAGAGAAGAAACATCTGGCAGCTCAATGCCTGTAATTCCAGCTCTGGGGAGATGGAGGCAGGAAGATCACTAGAGTTCAAGCTCAGCCTGGACAAGAGAGAACTTGTCTCAAAAAATAAAACTAGGGGTTTGGGAAGCTGACTTAGTGGTTAAGAGTGCTTGCTGCTCTTTCAGGGACCCGAGTTCATTTGTGACTCATCCATGCCCGGTGGCTCACAACTGCCTGTAGCTTCAGCTCCAGGGGATGTGACACTCTCTTCTGGCCTCCATGAGCACACACAGGTGACAAACACAGACACACATACACATACATAATTTTTTTTTAATTTTAAAAATATGCAAAACTAATAGCAATTTATCATTTTTAATACAAAGATAATTAAATAAACCAAAAATGGTAATAGATATGATAGGGAAGTCCCTGAAACAGGCCAAGGAAGTAAAAGTACCTGTTGGGATTTTAAATAAAGTAGACAAGAAAGGCTTCAATGACTTGACAGCAAAGAGAATTGATAGAAAACATGCTAATGGGCCAATAGTTACAGCATTGCTCTTGGTACTGAGAACTCGGAGAAAACCCTGATGGTTGTAGACCAAGGAACCCTGCCTGGCTGGGATTGTGACTGTATCCCTCAGGCTGCTGAACAGTATGAGGGGCAGAGGTGAAAGCAGGGACACCAGGAATGGCCCCTGTGGTAGTGAAAAGGAGTGACTGATAACAGTGGTGGCTCCAGTCATGGGGAAGGAGAGGTCACATTTTGAAAAATAGAGCTGGTGGGATTTGCTAGTCTGGAATGTGAGGATGATGGAGGCCAGAGTTGGTCACAGGAACTAAGGTTTTTGACACAAATAACTGGAAGGATCAGATGAGCTGAGAAACATAAGAGGAGAAGGAAAGAATAGTAGAAATTTAACTTTGGACTTGTTGAGCCTATGGGACTGGTCTATAAATAAGACTCAGAGGAACCATCTGGGCTAGAGGTAGAAATGTGAGTGCCACTTGTGGCACAAGTCGTTTCCAGAATTAAAATGACTTCCCAGGTGCTAGGGGTCAGAGTTCAAATCCAGTTGGAAGGCAGTACTTTGTTTCCAGAACCTTAGCAGTAAGAGGGCCTGAAAAGTGTCTTTAGTTTTCTAATCTGTGGTACAAAAAGATATATCAAATCAGATGTCCCCTAATGCTGTTCCTCTCGCTACAGTCACCGGCCTCCATGATGTGGATGAGTACATGCAGGCCCAGCTTCTGCTAGCTGTGAGTAGCCCTGGTGGCCACCCCTGCCCTCCTTTACCCTTCTCTTCGCTGCCTCTGCCTCAACAACCTCCACCGTACCCATCTGTCCTTCCCACAGGCCCTCAACATTGCTACGCATGTCTTGAAGCTAGGGGGCTGCTTTGTAGCCAAGGTGAGCCTTGGAGGACCTGGGAGAGTGTTACGAAAGGTCCGGGGGCGGGGCACCCTTCTCCATGTTGCCTTCCACACCCTACAGATATTCCGAGGCCGAGATGTAACACTGCTCTACGGCCAACTGCGGGTCTTCTTCTCCAGTGTGCTCTGTGCCAAGCCCAAGAGCAGCCGGAATTCCAGCATTGGTCAGTGGCACGGAGGCCTGATAGGCAAGGGGGTGACTGGGCATGTGTCCACACAAGGTTGAGGTGACAAAGAGCCACCCATCACTCCATGTTCTCCCCCACAGAGGCCTTTGCTGTTTGTCAGGGTTATGACCCTCCTGAGGGCTTCATTCCAGACCTGACCAGACCCCTGCTGGACTACTCGTACGGTGAGAGCCAGAGCTGGTGACCCATGCCTGGGGAAACTGCACCAACAACATGCATCTAATGTCTCTCGAGGGCCCTTAGCCTCCCACCCTGATGGCAGTTTACCGCATCTTAGGGATATTTTGTTCTAAAGGGAGCTTCACATAGTCCTCCAATAGTAACGCTTGGTCCTAGTGCAGATTCTCTTGCTTCAAACTCCTAAGCATTCACCCAGGGAAGATCATGTCTGTCTTAGGAAGACCCTGTCAGGGCCCTCAGGTGGAAACCTCACCTGTGCTCAGCAAAGGCAGATCCTATTGGAATGAAACAAGGTCCTGATGGGATGTGCTGGTAAAATGCTGAGTGGACAAAATACAGTAAAAAGCCAGAGTAGGGGCTGACATTTTAGAATCAGTGATCAGACAAGCCCCCATGAAGACCATCTGCTCTAGAGGACTAGTTGATGATAGACCAGTTAATTGGGAAGGGCTTAACGCTCCTGTAACCTGTGCCATAACTGGCCTTGGTCTTAGTCTTCACTCTACCTCTTTCTAAGATTTAGATTTCAACCAGCTGGATGGTCCTGCCCGTTTTATTGTGCCCTTTGTGACCTGTGGGGACCTCAGTGCCTACGATTCCGATCGCAGTTATCCTCTGGATGTGAGTGTCCAATCATTAGGACATGGGTCAGGGAGACTGTCTCAGATGCTCAGAGCCTCATCATCTCCCTGCTCCTTGTGTCCCACAGCTAGAAGATGGCTCCGAGTACAAATATACTCCACCCACACAGCCCCCCATCTCACCCCCATACCAGGAGGCCTGCAGGTTGAAGAAGAATGGGCAGCTGGCCAAGGAGCTCCTCCCCCAAGAATGCTCCATCGGCAGAGTAGACAAGTTGCCCCAGCCTTTGATTGTACCTCAGTGTCATACCGTGCTGGCTCCCAAGGTATGGATACTCACTTCTGAGCCCACCATGATGCCTTCCCCATATGCCTGTTTCTGTCCTGACTCACATGGTTCTCTCCTGCCATGCAACAACTATAAGAATCTGACAAGTGGAAAAATGTAATCAAGTAGCTGAGTCCCTTTTCTTTTTCTTTTTCTTTTTCAGCAGGTGGAAGACACTGAAATCAATTGCTCACCTTAACACATTAAGGTAAGTTTTTCTTTTTTTTACCCCCAAAGTTCAAATAAAGGGCATCTTTGGGAAAAAGCTGAATGGGACTACAAGCTGGCTTACTGGTTTAGAGCAGGTAGTGCTCTTGCAGAGGATCAGAGTTTGGTTCCCAACACCATATCTGGCAGCTCACCTCCATGAGATTGGACGAATGTGGCCTCCCTGGGCACCTGCATTCGAAAGCACATACCCAGGACAAGGACACACAATTAAAAATAATAAAAATAGTTGGGCAAGGTGGCACTCACCTTTAATCCCAGCACTTTGGGAGGTGGAGGGGAAGCAGGCAGGTCTCTACAAGTTTGAAGCTAGCCTGGTCTGAACAGTTCCAGGCCAGCCAAGGATGCATAATGAGGCCCTGTCTTTTAAAAAGAAAGAAAAAGAAAATTCCATCCTGAGCCTTTAATCCCAGCAGAGGCAGATGGATCTCTGAGTTTGAGGCCAACCTGATCTACAAATTAAGTTCCAAGACTGTTACACAGAGAAACCCTGTCTTGAAAAACCAAGAAAGAAAAGAAAAGAAAGATCCTTCATTGGTTTGGAGTATAGCTAAGTGTATAGAATACTTGCTTAGAATGTACAAAACCGTAGGTTCAATCTCTAGCACCATCTAAAAAAACAGGCAGTGGTGGTGCACACCTTTAGTCCCAGCACTCCGGAGGCAGAGGCAGGCAGATCTCTGAATTCCAGGCCAGCCTGGTCTACAGAGTGAGTTCCAGGACAGCCTCCAAAGCTACACAGAGAAACCCTGTCTCAAAACAAAACAAAAACAACAAAAAACAAGCATAGTAGTAGTGCCTATATTCCTAGCACTCAGATGCAAAACAAGGCTCAGATATGTAGCAGGTTTGAAAACAGCCTGAGCTACATAAAAACCTGTCTCAAAAGATGAAAGCCCTCAGTAAATTTTGGCTTAAAATTTTTTAGCATTTTATTTATTGTACATAATTGCAGGCAAAACACTCATACACATAAAATAAAAATACATCTTCAAAGGGCTGAAAGTTTCAATCTTCAATACTACCAAGGAAACAAACAAAAACATATTAGGAGCTGTGTTGAGTTGGTCGAATGCACAAAGTTCTGGATTCTATCCCCAGAACCACAGAACCTGGCTGTTGTGGCCCATACCTGTAATCCTGCGGTAGGAGGTTGTTTTAGTTACTTTTTTAAAGTTTTATTTATTTATTATGTATACAGTGTTCTGCCTGCATGTTGCCTGCAGGTCAGAAGAGGGCACCAGATCTCACTACACATGTTTGTGAGCTCTCATGTGGTTTCTGGGAATTGAACTTGGGACCTCTAGAAGAGTAGCCAGTGCTTTTTTTAAAATTTATTTATTAGTTCTAATTAGGGAACAAGCTTGTTTCACATGTAAGTCCCTTCTCCCTCTCCCTCCCCTCCCCTCAACCCCATCCCTCCTCCTCCACCCCCAGCCTACCCCCACTCCATCCACCCACCACTCCCCAGGCAGGGTAGGGCCCTCAACGGGGGCTCTGCAATGTCCACCAAATCTTCCTGTG